ATGAATTCATATTGTTGTTCTGCCAGGCTCTCTTAAGACAATTTTTTTTTTTTAATTTATAAAAAATAAAAAAAAATAAAAAAAAATGAAAGTATGGAATTCCCACCAATGTCACATTTGATCATCACTTTAATAAATTGTCCTCATGGTGAGGCAGTTAAATTACAACAATTTTTTTTTTTTTTTAATAGTTTTAATCCATAAAATCAGTTTAATCTCAGTTATTGAAAAGATTTTTTTGTTTACGTAACATACTATGTAAACAAAAATAAATCTTTTCAATAAACAAAACTTAAAAAAAAGTAAACATTTTTATGCAACTTAAATTTGTTTTTACAAAATTCATGTATTTCTTAAATTTTATAGCTTTTTAAACTCATTTTTATCTTTATTTACTTAAAATAAATAAACTAACATATTTGAAGTTTCCTGAAAAAAAGCTTTTTCACGCAAAAGTTTGTATTAAAAAATACAAAATTTAATTTCCATTGTATTTAATTTCATTTTACTAATATGTTTCTTTGGCATAATTGAACTGTTCTGGGTATATTATTATAGCATTTAAAATATTTTGAAACTTTTTTCTCATTTTCAGAGCCAAACTAAATGCAAGTTTTATAAATAGAAGTGTATAAAAAAGTTAAAAACAAGTATTTTTGTCCCATTTTTATCTGGTGTGATTAAGCTGTAGTTTTTTTTCCACTCTTAACATGATTTATTAAAATATTTAAAATAACACTAGTAAAATCATTTTTTACTAATAATCTAATAACAGGAAAAAAAAAATATTTTCGATCCCATGCAAACAATATAGATTTACAGTTGTTCTCATCCTTATGAAGATTTTAATGCTTTGTAATGGTTGAATCTCATCCCTTATAAAAAGATCAAGTTGAATATCAGTGTTATTTAGCTTTCAACTTCCTAATATATTTTTAAAAATTTATTGTAAAGTTTGATAAAACTACTTATATCACTTTAAAAAAAAAAAAATAAATAAAAAAAATAATCAAAGGATGTTTTACTGCGTTGCTACACTTTTACTTTTAACAAAAATAAAACATTTTGATTCTTTTTAAAAATTATTACAGTTGTGAGAAATTCATTTTAGACAGTAAAACTTAATTTTCTTAGATAAGATTGAAAACTCTTTATTATTTAAGTTTTTGTGATAATTCATATTTAATTCTTATTAAACATCTGTAAGCAAATTTAAAATTTGCATTTATTTTTTTATTCACTGTCCTGTAGAATTAGGTACTCCTTGTACTTTATCAAAATATATGCAGGAGTTAAAGCACAATAGGATGATGTCTTTCTGCTTAAAGTATTATTGTTGCAATATTTTCTATAGATATATATATATATATATATATATATATTAAAGTGTGTCTTATTTTTGAAGTACATGTTAAAATTGAACTATCACCTCCAAATTGATTCCATTCATTGAAAAATGCCATATATAAAATTTTAAGGAGACAGCATAATATTTAGATGACACGTTTGATTGTTAAAACTTAAAAAGACGGACAAAAAAAAATAGACCCTTTTTACTTTACAGTTAATAGCAAACCATTACTAGTTGAATCTTTACAAATTATACACATTAGAAAACTAGACACATTTTTTATCTAACAGTGAAAAATTTAAATTTTAACTGATGTTTATTATTTTCAGACCTCAATTATGGCAAGTGTATCTAATGCTAAGCAGAAATGTGTAGATTGGAAGTATTTTTAAGATTTTTGATAACCAAATTAAAGCAATATGGCAATTGTAGCTAACAAGTGATTTACATAAAGAAATTCTCTTTACTTTTTAAACTCTTACCAATTTTTTTAAATAAAAAGGATACTTAACTTTATTTCATAAGCTTTTGTATTCATTTTTCTACTAAATGTTTTAATAAACGTACTTTGTTCATTAAGTTTCCCAAACCAAGTGTACGGTATGAAAATAATTAATTTTAATCATTGTAGGTATCGGAATCAGAAATTTACAACAGTATCAGGAATTGTATTGGTAAAAATATTGGTATCATCCCATCACTACTTAAAAGTTCCTCATATGTTTGGTCCATAGCATTGTCGACATCCTTCCTTATAATCACATTTCTGTTACCTCGTCTTTTCTTCATCTGTGAGGAGATTGTCGAGTATTCACTACCATATAAGGTCAGATACTACATAACAGTTAAGTACTCGTTTCTTTGTTTCTAATGAAATTTTTCTGTTTCTTAATGCTTTGCTTAACTTTTGGAAGGTACCTTTTGCTATCCCAATGCACTTTTGGATTTTGCCGTTATATTTTCTGTCATCTGTTAAAACACTCCCTAGATATTTAAGTTTTTGCATTTGTTTAATTTTGGTATCTCCAATAAAAGACAGAATAATTTATTTATTTATTTTATGTACAGCAATAACAATGAAACATTTTCTATTGTCTAAATGTTAATTTGCCCCAAATTACCTGTGGTATAGTGAGAATATCAATCTTCCTTTACGGCAGTGAATGCTGGACAATTTCCTCAGAGATGAAAAGAAGAGGTACCAGAAGGATGCTGAGAATACTATGGACAAAGGATGCAAGCAACAAAGGAAATTTTAAAGGATAATGGAAACAAAAAGGACAAGTGATTCTCTGCTTAAGTTTCTCTTGGCTTTTAGGAAGATGGGGGATATAAACCTGTCCTTTCACATAACTCCATAGAAAAAAAAAAATCACAATGTGTCAAGTCATGTGAAGGTGGTGGCCATTATCACTGGCACACGATCCATCTTCTTGGCAGATTCTCATTGAAATAAGTCTGCACTGAAGTGCTGGAGAATGTTACACAAGACATGCTACAGCATGTTTGGCAGGAGCTGGACAACTGACTTGACATGTTGTGTTACAGGTGGTGCACATATTGAAGCTTTGTGAAATCGGTTATAATATCTCCATCCCTTTGAATATCTTGTTTGAATTTTGATAAATAAATCTTTTATTGTTCAACATGAAGCCTATTTAATTTTGTTTGCCTGAAACATGCAGTTACTCAGATATTCATATTTTAAAAGATGTCAATTTTTTTTGAATACCCTGTGGAGATAATATAATGACAAGCATTACTAAGATCTATGACTGATAGGAAGTTGTGGTGAGCCATGATCACCTATGTCTTGAAGGGAAATGGCACATAGGAATAGTGAAAGATGTCCTTAAGAAATTAAGCAAAGTATTAAGACATAGGAAAATATTAGAAGTAAAATGAGCTACAATCTAATCTCCCATATGGTAGTGAATGCTGGACAATCTCGTAATTGCAGAAGAGTCTTGAAGTATATGGTTCTACTTGTGAATGTCAAGAACACAGTAGATATAAAAAATGTGAGCAATGTTAAAGAAAACAAATATTGACACAATATAAAGCCTAAGAGCCACTCAATGTAGAGGGTTACTGAATGAGGTGTGTGATAAGAGGAGGAAGTATGAAGTGAAGATTCTTAAGATGTATAGCAGAGAAATAAGGATTGACCCTAGATTTGAAGAGGCTAAGATTGTGGTGACAAAAGAGAAAGCCAAGTCTCATTTCAAAAATGAATTGGTGTTCTCTGTGCTACATGTTGGAAAATAAAATTGGAATCAAGATCGGGTTGACTTTAGTAGGCCTCGGAATGTGGCAATTGTTTGTGCTTCCCTACTAGTCTCGACACCAATCACAAGCATTAAAGTTGACCAGCCAATTCCTGCCCCAGTTCACAATTGATTGGAGGTCCTTTTCGAGACGCATGGATAGGTTAGATTTGTCAGTGACACTAGATTTGTTTCTGAGGCAGGAATAAATTGTGGTGTCATCCGCGTAGATGCCAACTTGGGAATTTATGGCGTCAGGAAGGTCATTTATATAGATAAGGAATAGAGTGGGGCCTAGGATGGAGCCTTGAGGAACACCTGCGTTTGTGGGATAGGAACTGGAGAAGGTCAGGACTTCAAACTGGTTGAAACAAAGGAGGTCTTAGGAACATCCTCAAAATCAGGTGGCCGGAAGTCATCTCCAATAACCAACTGTGGGACAACCCTCAATCGAGATTGACATCAAGCAACAGAAATAGGGATGGATCAGCCACACACTTCACATGCCTGTTTCTAGTGTCACCAGGCAGGCCCTTGACTGGAATCCACAAGGGAAGCGAAAAGTGGGTTGACCAAAACAGACTTGGCACAGAAGTATTGATGCGGAGTTGTTGAAGGCAGCCAGTGACAACATGGCCCGAGTTGAAGAGGATCACCCAGAACCATGTTCATTGGGGAGGTGTTGTTGTGACCCTATGTTCCCCAAGGAATCAAGATGCATAAGAAGACAACTACTGGGCACTTTCTGAAATTCTGTTCATTCTGATATAAATTGAATTGTATAGTTTTGTCTATATCAATAGATAACATTAAATCAATTTTATTTTATTTTATATATCTTAATCTGAGTTTTAATGAACATGTACAATTACAATGACTTTTGTGCAACATTTCCTTGATAAGAAAAAAGCAAAAATGTTGTTTTAGACTTTTTGATTCCAATAAGTTCCCTTAAATGGATGCTTAGGCAGGAGAATGGCTAGTGGTACAGGAAATGGAAGTTCCCTCTCCATCTGCTACTTTTGCTAATGCTTTTCCAAAAAGTATGAATCCAGTTCTCTTACCAGCTATAGGTTAATTAGTAGGGTAGACTAGATTTACTAGCCTTGAGTAGCAGCTAGTGTAGAAGAATTGATTAATTCTCTTCCTACAGATTTGCATCTTATTTAAAGCCAGAAAATATTTTTAGATTGTAAGAATTTGGAAGGGTAATGATTTAGTGATAAAAGTCTTACTAATTAATCCATAGTAGTGGGGAGAAGAGATAAATTTCTCAAGGGTCTGTGCATGTAAGTGAATATAATGAACCCAATGGGAATTGGAACTTGACTCTCTGTTAACAATTTAGTCATTATTCATTACACCACCTGCATATATGCAAGCTTACAGTACCTGGTATTTCCAAGTGGTCCCCCATCTAGGTACTGACTAGGCTTGATGTTGCTTAACTTTAGTCATCATATGGGAACCAGTGTTCCAATGTGATGTGGCCATAAGCCTTGGTGAAGGACAACTCTGAATATGAAACTATCTTTACAAAGAAGTTGTAGTAATTTACAGATAAATAAAAAGAAATTGTCAAGAGCCATGATCATCTGTCTTGAACAGACATTGGAAAAAAAAAAAGAAAAAAAAAAACATTTACTCTCATTGTTGATTATTAGAATGTTCATCTTGGAACGTTGGATTTTGCATGCTAAATTATACCTTTTTTTAAGGTTTAATATAATAAATGCAGAAGCCATCTGAAAGTATAAGAGACAAAGAAAAGCATTCCTCCTCTGTCAGTTGTGGTTCGCAGCCACACCACATTGGTGATCATATGGCAACCAGTGTTTCAAAGTTGAACAACATCGAACCTGGTCAGTACGTAGATTGGTGACTGCTTGGGAATATCAGATGCTGTAAACACAGGTGTGTGGGAAGATTTATTTTGGAGGATATAGAGACTATAATTTATCTTATCAGATCTAACAACAGGAAACCAAAAAGTGTTTTATATATATATATATATATATATATATATATTACAGCCATTGGTATCTGTTGTATTTTATATCAGACCATTGAAACCAGAAACCATTTTAATTTTTCTTTTTTGGTATAGATTTTTCTAATTTGTGGGGGCACACTGTGTATCCTCAATACTATGGCACACCTTGTTTGTCTGGTTGCTTGTTTGTTATATTAGAGCTGTTGGTGTTCGTTGGATTTTAAAATCAGCACATTCTAAGTAGATCTGTTTTTTCTCTACTAGCTTGTATACCACATTGTGCTATTATTGATTTTGCAGTGATATTATGTATGGCTCTAGTCTTAATTTCCTTGTCGAGGATTGTCAGATTAGGTCACTCTCAATGCATTTTCTTACATCTCTTGAACAGACTGGTATTTATTAAATTGAAATTGTGGTCTGATGTATGACAGTGAACTACCAGTACGTTTAAAGTTCATATAAAGTTCTTTTTGAGGTTTCTGGAGGTTTCACTGATGTACATCATTGGGCAATTTGTACAATCTATTCTGTATTTACCTGACTTTGCCACTATCTCATTTGATGCTAACTATATCTCTTGTTTTAGAGGTGGTGTTTTTTTAGATCATGGTTGGAGAAGTTATTTTTTATGGTGGCTGTTATGGAGTTGGTAGATAGGATTATGCACCTACTTTTGTTATTGTTGTTGGGATTATTATTATTTATGGATTTTTGTATTGTGTTTTTCTTCTGTGGATTTTGTAAGCTTTGTGTTTGGCATTGTGCAGGAAATAATTAGGTATTGGAAGAGTTTGAAAGTGTTTTTAATGTATCTCTCTTCTTTGGATAGGAATTGGGGGCTACATATTTTAAGGGCTCTTAAATAATATTAATAAACAGAAATCTGGCCAACGAATGGGTTCACCACTCAGTGGAGTACAGGTATGCCTCTTCATAGAATTTTTAGAATCCAGCTCCTTTCAATGTATTTGCCCAAAAGATGCAACACATTTCTGATAGATTGATGACATCCTATTAACATACACACAGGACACCACTATCAGAACCTATTGATAGACCAAACAGGATACAATTGATTTCATCTACAAAAAACAAGCAAACTACACTTTACCATATCTTTAGATCATGTTAATAGGTTCACATAAGTAAATCAAAAAAAAAAAAAAAAAAAAAAAAAAAAAAGATCTTATACACTTTTACTTGCATCACAATAATAAAATCAAATCCAGAATAATCATAGGCTCTTTTATTATTGAATATGATAATGTAGTTTTATTTATGGCCCCTCTTATCTTCAAAAATCTCAATGGATTTTTTCTTAGTTTTGTCTTTCATTCTGACCTGAAGAAGCCAAAACTCACGGATGTCACTGAAATGTGTTGTTTATAGCTTTTCCAATTTGTCTCATCTTTACTTTTGCATACCATTATACATCCTCCCCTGACACATATATATGACAAAATAAGAGAACAAATAGGAAAACATGTCAGTCTAACATGTTTCCCTTTTATTAAAGCTTCATCAGAGATTGAGAGAAAACAGAAACACTGGTATTTTCAATTTTGTTTTGGTCAGTTCTCAAGACTTCAGAGACCTGACCTAAACAAAATAGAAAATACCTGAGATTCTATCTTTTTGTCTGTTTTCTCTCAATCTCTGATGAAGCTTTAATAAAAGTGAAACATATTAGATTGATATACATTTCCTATTTATTCTTTTATTTTACCATCCTTCCTAATTCTGATCCAGATTTGATCTGTGTGTGTATATATATATATATATATATATATATATATATATATATATATATATATATATATCAGATATAGCACTGAATGATTGGGGAAAATGTAGGAAGTTTAAATAGACTTCATCTTCTATTAACCATAAAAGTTCTTGTAGCTCAAGTGGTAGAGCAGCTGTTATGGTAAAACTGACTTTCCAAGGCAAAGAACTTTCCCACTATTATCTATTTCCCACTCATGCTATTTACTCATTGTTTTTGATTGATAGTATGAAGATATAATACTACAAATAATGACCATAGACTGATGGTCTGAGAAATGTGAAGAAATGCAACTAAAATTTAAAAAATGTAAAAAAAGTGATCCAAAATTAATAACAGTTGATAATCTTTTTCATCATAATACAATTCTTCCTCCTCAGATTGATGTGATACAATCTACCAAGTAAGGAAAACCTGCTGGGCTAGAAAATCAGGATTTAATTTTTATTTTTTAAAGTTCAAACACTAATTCTTAGCACAAGTGGGAAATTTGCAATTAACACAGCAATTAAGCAGATACAACATTTTTCTTTTGATATTTCAAATGTGAACGAACATTGTAGTCATAAACCGAATTGTCCATTCTTATAAATTCTCAGTCTTTAGCAATAAAATACAGTGACATTAAAAGAAAAAAATATGATTGGGGTTAGAAAAGAAAAATCACTCTAAGAAGCAGAGATCCATATAAATTCATTGCTTTTTTTAGTTATAGAACTTAAGGAATTGGTTGATCAATTCCATAAAAAAGGTGGCTATACTTCAAAGTTACTGAAACAAAACTTCAGAGTTTTTAACTCAGTTGCAATATAGAGTGGATAGCATTATATATATATATATATATATATATATATATATATATATATATATGAGAGAGAGATACACATTGGACAAAAGTGAAAAATCAGCTCTCTGACAAGACTGATTTGATTAGATAGGTCTAGCTGACATTTTTATAAATGAGAAAACCCAATAACTTTATTTTTGTGTGTGCGTGTGTGTGTATTGTGGTTTGTAATTAGTTGCTTTTGCAGACCACCACCTCCCACCTACATAGTAATTAAATATATCGATAGCAGAAGTAAAAAATTACAGACTTGGATTGTGTCCGAGTAGATAAGTGTGGAGAAGAGAAAAGGAAAAAAAAAAAAAAAAAGGTTGATGGGGAGGTTGTAAAAAACAACCTCACATTTGAGATGAGAGCCTGTTAACCATTGATCTATAGCAGGCAGTCTTGGATTGTACTTCAAAAGTTATTTTCAGTCCAAAGGATGCATTTTCTTTATTCTTTCTTTGTCTTACTCTCTCACATGCGTACAGATATAAATAAATTGTAATAACCCCAAGCAAAGCAATAATGCCACTAAAATACAAAGGGGGGGGTACAGGTTGTGGAAGAATTAGGGGTAGAAACATTAATGATGAGCAGAAAGAGAATCAAGTGGAAAGGGATTGACATTGCATTTAAATTTTTGCAGATTAAATTTGGCGTAAGTTGATTATATGACTTTAGATGTGTCTTTTCCCACTGCTATGCATCAGAGATGAAGTAAAAGTGAGAATCCCTAACAGGTTTTCAAAGTAAGCAGGTCTTCCATACTTGAAAGTTTGGCACAACACAATCTTACGCTCCCATTTCCCCTCTAATTTGGCCTTGTGCCATACCAAACTAATGTTAGTAATTATCATAATTTGTATATTTTAATCTGAATTATTAAAATATGCAAATTATACAAGTGTTACTTGTTGGGTGAAGTAGTAGCATATTTCTATACCAGCACTTTAGGTTCCATTTAAAATAAATAAATTTACATATCTCCACAAGCAGCTTAGGCATATCTGACTAGTAGAAGCACTAAGGCAACTGTAGAGCATGGGTTGTACCGAGACCGTATTGAAATAATAACTTTCATTGTAGTCTGGTAAAAAAAACCAAAAAAACAGTGAAAGTAAATTTTGGTGGGTCATGTTTGACACCAAATACATTTTTTGGTATGTGCAACAAGAGACATGGTAAAATATTCAAATTTCAGAAGCTGAAATAAAAAGCTTTGAACCAGGATCTCAAATCTGCAGAGGAACAAGAAAGGCATGTAGAACAGTAGTCTTCAAAGTGTTCAGCATAAAAAACCACATTGCCCTTTGAAAATGTGTAAAGTATACAAAAGAAAAGAATTTTTTTTTTTTTTTTATAAATGAATGAAATATTATTTTCTTTTTTTAGTCAACATGATAAAAGTCAGAATAAAATGTTAAATATCACAAATACAAAGAAACTAAATCTTGTGCAAGTTGACAAGATGTGACCCCCCCCAGCCACTCCAGCCCATTTAAAAAGTCCAGATAAAATAGTTGAAATAAAAATACAGTTCAAGTCCTCATTAGCTTCAAAAAATATGCAATTCCATTTTTATAGAGCTGCCCAAGAAGCCAGGACGGCAAATGAATATGATGAGCCCTATTTGACAATCAGCCGAATGAGCCACATAACAAAACTTCTCCGAATTCTAATGAATAAGGCACATAGGAGAATTCGGCCAGAAATAGAACAAGAAAAGCATAGTTTCATTAAAGACACTGCAAGAATGAATGTGATATTTTTGCTCAGAATGATATAAGAAACAGCAATACAAATGCAGAAGAATGTATTTTATAGATTGTGCAAAAAGTTTTACGGTATGATACGAAGAACTATTTGAACTGCCAGGTAAACT